GGGGAGGGTGTAATCTTCTGGCGTCTTTACAGCGGTTTTCATGCCGTTTGTCTTTTCGTTTACCGTGTTTCAATTTCTCGGTGTTCTTACTGTTCTGAGCATCAACGATCAATACTAAGCGATTTTCCATCATGTCCAAGTACCTGAATTCTGAAATGTTATTATATCACATCGGCAACACGTCAGTCCATGATTCACATGTCACATTCTCTTGACATTAGTCATCATGATTGTCATGCTATATGATGTTTAGTGTATTTTGTCTAGACATTTAAAGTACTTGGTTTAGGTTTATCATCACAGCCCAGTGTGATGTTGACATTCGTTGTAGTTGGTTCTGATGCCACATTTTTGTAGTGGATGGTTGGCGGATGCTCTTGTGTGGTTAGTTCCTTCTGTTCCTCCGTCTTTTTATATCTTTCCTTCCTTTTTTTGTGTTTGTTTCTCTCTTGTAGCGTCTCTAATATTTGTACCCCCGGGGCAGTGCCACTTACGGAAGTGTCTTTAGGCCACTCCCAAATGGGGGACATTTCTCGTTCTAATTGGAAAGTAGAAGTGTAAATGGGCTGATCCAACAATATATAATGTCATGCTCATAACTGTGCCTGAACTACAACAGGGAACTGCAGTGTCTTGTTTTCTAATCCTTACTATCGTCATTTTCCTCTACTTCTTTTGTATGTTTGTCGCACTCTTGTGATCGCTATTTCCGGGGTGCCTTGATAGTCGAAGCAGATTTTGTGCTGTTGAAGCTAGAGAGGTGAGCAGAGTAAGTCTGATTTCCTGTAAGGACTTCTCTGTTGATATCCACCCCTTGGCGCTCATATGACCTTTTTTTTGCGAGCGCAGGAAAACCTCTAAAAACTAAAAATCTAATATTTGGCTCAAGATATCACATCATAACGTGGAATCAGGCGCTCATCAGGTATTGGGCATGTGAAGCTATTGGTATCATCTTAAAGCTTGTTCAGTTGTCTTGCTATCGGTGAACAAAATGCCCATCTATCTTCTATTGAAGTCAAGATATATTTTTAAGATTGAAGAAAGTGGGGTCGTCTGGTTTCAAAAGGTAGAATTAGCGAGAAAGGGGCTGCCAAAGTTTGGTTATTTCCATTTCTTGATAGTATGTGGAAATTGTTTTTGTCCCTTTAATCGTTTTTCAGTAATACCAAACCGTATTCTTAATTTTAAAATTGCCAAATTGGCAGAATAATGCCAGTTTCTTCAATTTCATTTCCGGGTATTTTGACGAGCGCCAGATTTCACCACACTGACTCATGTGTTGCAAGTACCATAAAAATTAAACTCTATTAAGACTTAAAAACATTTTTGTAGAATAAGCGTGGTTTCCAATACAGTGTTTGTTGATATAGTATACACACTAAATTGATTAAATTTCGCATGGAAGTCCGAAGTGTGATCATGTGTCCTTATTTTTTATTTGCAGATTTGTATTGAGTTCATTGCCCTTTTTGTTTATTTTTTGCAGAGACTGACAGCATTTCTGTATTCATTGGGCGGAAGGATGGTTTGAGGATTGCTGAGCTAGTAGACAGTGGAATAACTGTAGACATGAACATAATACCTGATGGTGAAGGACGTTACCCTCCCCTCTTGCCCAACGGCATCAGCAAGACTTCTGTTCTTTTTGTTTCCATCTCTTTCATAGTGCTTATGATTATCTCTCTTGCCTGGTTGCTGTTTTACTACATTCAGAGATTCCGATATTCCCATGCCAAGGAAAGGCTTGCGGTAAGTATGAAAGGACATGTTTACTTTTTTATATATTATAAATATAATATTGTGTGAGTCTATTGTCATGGAGTTTCATCATTCTACATCTTGGCGAATTCTGTTTTGCATCGAATACCACTTAATGCCCCCCATTTTCTTTGTCTGCACGTTTTGAAGACTAAGTTACTCACCTTTTTTTAAACTGAAAAGCTTTCAAAGTAGCTAAACCTATCCCGATTATAACCGATTGCTGTTGCACTGGGCAAACAACAGCGCTTCGGCAGTGCTATTGCTTGCAGTAGGTATGGACCGAAAATGCCTGCTTTGTGCTTTGTAAACTGTTTATATTATTTATGAATAAAAAAAAACCCCAACCTTGTACAAGTCAAGTAAGAGTTTGGAAACTTTGTAACCTGCCAAAAAAGTCGAGCTAAGCATTCATCACACGTTTTTCGGGCTCAGTACAAGACCAAACTCTCACTGTACATTACTGTACATTTCTAAGTCTATCATCAATCACATCAGTCTGTACGTTCTGCTTATTTTTCTGTTATATGTGTTCAAATCTGTTGACCCCCCTTCCCCCCTGAAAGAAAAAACAAAAAACCAAGCAAGCTGCTTATTAAAGATCTAATAAAATAGAGAAAAAAAAGAATTAAAAAGTGGTAATGCACAGCTGTGTCTATCAGATATCATATTAACAACTTTCAGTGGAGAATGATTTTTTAAAAATCGTTTGGCTTTGTGAAAAGAAAAAAATTTAGAATGCTTTTCATTTTCCAAGTCTGTGCCAGAACTTCAGCATTTTAGTCAATGTGTATAGTGAAAAGATATTAGATCTGCAAAAATCTCTGCAAGTACAGTTTTTAGTTTGTGGTCTAACATTAGACTAGCACATTGTTTCTGATTTTGAATCCAGGGCAGGGAGACATTACACCTTTAACTAAGTAAGTAGATGAATTCAAGCTGGGATTCTCGGTATATAATATTACATTTATTCAATAAACATTAAAAAGGGGTCAGTTTGAGGTCGAGAGCAAAAATAGCTTTTTTTAAAGTGGATGCCCAAGGATGCTGTGACTGTGTTATTCAGTAGACATTAGTCATTGTTATAAGTTTTACACTCCCTCTTTGAAAATGAAACCATGTGAAGTAAACAATTCTGTTGTGAAACTTTTGTGTTGTTCACAGTGATCATGCTGTTTGTGAATAGTGTGTTCAGTGGCTTTTCACACCTGAACAGATTACGTTTTCACAGGATTGTGAATTGATGTCTTCAGAATTATGAGCATTGCTTGTTTCTTGATCGTGAATGATTGAAATTGAAGAATCTTTTATGTGCAGCTCTTTTTGTTCAGTCTCTCTGTGTGTGTGATGTGGCGTTTAGGCACTTCTCTGTCTCACGTAAAAGAGGCGAGATTCATTCCTATGTGGGGAGAAGAAGTTTTATTGGCTGTCTTGGTCTTTCTGCTGGGGTGTTGTTTATATCCTTCTCAACCTGGGTTGACACTAACAGCCAGGGTTGAAGCTCGCTTTTTGAATGAAAAAGATTGTGTTAATGAGTAGGGGCATCAAAACACCTCTACATTAAAAAAAGCTTTAAAAAATGAACGAGAGAGATGACATTTTCACACAGAGGTGTTTGAAATAAGATAGGAATTATGATTATGTAGTGTTGTTTCTAGTTGAGTTCTTTTCTCATGTTGCTGTTATTTTACACTAGTCATCATGTTTGGCCCATTGGTGTTCGGTGTGGTTTGCTCCTTCTTTCCTATCAAACATCTATCGTCCTTATGTCTCCTCCTCCTCTTTTTCTTTCTTTTTTTCCTCTTTTTTTCAGTAGTGACACTTCTGATCTTCTACACTAATCTTTCATGCCGCAAGTGCCTTAAAACTTTTAACCCCCTCCCCCCAACCCACCAGTGTATGTGGTGTCATAATTGGACCATTGCCTGTTTGACGCCAGAGACATGAATTTGATTCATGCGTGGGGGTTGCTATGTCATGTTATTGAGTGTCTTTCCATCTGTGTGCTGGGATGTTATAATTACATCATCCCATTGAGCTTAGGTCGGCTGGCCCTATGAAAAGGTGATCTTAAAACAAGCCTACCTCGTATCATGAATAATACGACCTTCTAAATTGTGTCAAAGGGGGAGTAAAACATACTATGGATACCGCTGACTATGTTGTCAAAAATGTTTTTTTAGAGTTGGGTAGTTAAAAGCAGTTGAAATTGGACTTTATATATAATTTTTTTCTTTAAAATAAAAAAGTGGTTTTCCACATTAGAGTAAGTGAAACTTTTCAATTGTCTTCCTGTTCATATAATCATGGCTGTAAGGCCATTCTCAAAGGGGTGACATTAACCATGTTCTTATGCACAGTAGAATTGTAATCATGTGCTGATTCATCAATGTCATGCTCATAACTGTGCCTGAACTGCAACAGAGAACTGCTGCTTTTTCTTTCCTACTACGTCATTTTCCTCTACTTCTTTTGTATCTTGTGCCTTGATAGTCGAAGCAGATTTTGTGCTATTGAAGCTAGAGAGGTGAGCAGAGTAGTAAGCCTGATTCCCTGTAAGGACTTCTCTGTTGACATCCTCCCCTTGGCGCTCATATGACTTTAAGCAGTTGCGAGCGCCGTAAAACCGTTACTAAAACAAAGTGTCTCTGTCTGTCTATCTGGTTGTCTCTCTCTCTCTCTCTCTCTCTCTCTCTCTCTCTCTCTCTCTCTCTCTCTCTCTGTATTGTGAGAAGTTGGCGGTTGCTCTGATTTAGATTGCTCCTTCTTTCAATGCAACTGTCATCGTTGTCTCTCCTTTTCTTTTTGTATTACTCTCTTATAAATCATATGCTGGTCGTCGGCTCCATGGCTTATTTGTGCTGCAAGTGCCGTAAAACTTACTTGAACTTGAAAAAAGTCTCTCTCTCTCTCTCTCTCTCTCTCTCTGTCTGTCTGTCTGTCTGTCTGTCTGTCTGTCTGTCTGTCTGTCTGTCTGTCT